TTGAAGGAGATAGTTGAGAGACGGGTTGTACAGCAATTGGTATACAAATATGAAGGTAGTCTTCTGAGCTCTTGATAAGGACTAGTTCATAGGATGTCGATTGAAGAAGATCCTTTTCAATAGCAAAGTTGTCGAAGACATTTTTGATAATGATCTGCTGTTTTGGTGCTTGTAATATCTTTTCGAATGGTAGACGTAAAACGATCGAAGTATATTACACTAAAGAAACAACGAGAACATGCATTTATTGTATCTTGTTACTCAATTCTTTATTTTTACGTGCTCGTCTGCACACGCACTGCAATGATGGTGTTCTTTCCTGTTTTGCCATTGTCAATGCCCTTTGTCCGATGACATAACAATCTCTTACGAATATGAGAGAGATTTTGCATTGCATGAAAACAGATAAGAACAGTCTCAGCTCAGTCTAAAATTCACTTTATAAACATTTCTTTTACACAAAATATTGATCGGATGCAATATAGAGAAAACTTTTCGAACACTGAACAAAGTGATTAAAAGATGAATAAAAAGTATGTAACTGAGTCATTGATAATGACAATAAATTATTTCTAATATTTCGTACTCGAAATAAGATTGAATTCGTGCAACTAATGATTATTATCTCATGTTGAAATAACATTTCCAAATAATCTATAATTTAATCTATCTTATTTGATAAATGCTTAAAAAAAATCAGATAAAGAAATTCATAGATAAATTTTACTTGAAATAAAAATGATGATTTATTCATTTTAGAAATGAAATAGTTATTCTTGTTATTTGTTCAGCTTTCTTTTGTTAAATTCATATATAAAATCAGATTCTTGAATCATTGTTTATACCATCTTTTAAAATAATATTCTACTTGTAGCGATATTGTGAAACTCAAAAATGAAAAATAATAATGAATATAACTTTAAGAAAGGCTTTGTGCGATATCATTTCTTCCTCACGGACGGTGTAGCTGTCTTTCATTCTTTATCTTTTATTTGATTGCAAAATACATTAAACATTACTACATGCGAGTATCATATATTAATCATATGAGATGCTGCGCCGAGTTCAAAACAAAACAAAACATCACTTTAAATATACAAGATCAATCTCGGTTAAGTATTTGTCTGTTTTTATTCAACTACTAATATTATTATAAATTTATTTTCAATATCATTATATACGATTGATACTCATTTGTATCTTCTGTAAAAGACATATCCTGTAAAATGTGATTAATATCATTTCGTTGAGATTTGTAAACCGAGATGGACATCAATTAGTTTCATCTGAACAGAAAATAACATTTAAAACTTTTGTAAATTCTAGTTTTTAGTTTCGATAGAATTTAACATGAGAGTTGATATCAATAAAATCGATGTTTAACCACATTATCAAGCTAAAAATGATCACTTCATCTCATTTCTTCTCTCGTGCCAAATATATTTCCTTCTCTTTCAAATCACGCAAAAAAATAATTCTCCTTTTTAAAGATGAATATTAGGCGTAGTGTTACTCAATTTTTTTCTCTTCTGCTGATTCTCAAAGGAAGTGATTGTAAAAGAAGAACGAAAACAATATAACATTCTGTCTGGATTAGAGAGATATGTCTATATCTAGATTATCAAGAATGAAGAAATACGAAGCTTTATCTTTAATTTTATGCAGTTTTTTAAATATGTTAAAAAGGCGATAGTTATCTTACGTTTAAAACATGAATGTATTGAGTAAAATATTTAAATGAGGAAAAACTCGTTTTATTCTCAGCACATAAATATAAAATATATTCATTTAGTATTTTTGTACCAATAAATTGTATACAGATTGCATTGATGAATCATTTAAAACTTATATGAATCAGAAATAATCGAAGTTAACAGTTCAAATGATAATATTTATAATAAGTCTTATAAAAAGAACTTTTTTAATTTGCTTTTCTGCTAGGATATTACAAAAAATTTGACTATATCTTCGAACGATGATAAATCTCTAAAAACTATCAATATGATCAATTATTATATTTCTACATAAAACGATGAGAAATGATTTAATTTTTTTATATATAGATTCTTATTAGGAAAATTCTATTAAATTATGAGATAGGATTTATTCAATTTTTTAATTTGGATGATAATAAAGAAATCATATAACATATACATTTTTTTTCATTTATTTATGACACGTCTATATTATTTAATTTATGGCATATGTTGACAAAAGTTTTCTACACAATGTAATGTATATTTATTTCATCTTTAATATCTTATTATTCGCGATAGACTCAAATTATGTCATATTAGAATCAGAATAATCGAATAATTTTTATGTTCATTTTCTTCTTTCATTCAAACGAGAATATAGAAGGTACATGTGTACTAGCAACACGCTAGTACTGAACTCAACCCAAATCTGGTATAAAAAGCATGAGTCATTGATCCTTACTATCTTATCAATTATATAACAACGCAATATAAAATAGAAAAAGAAATTCCGATCTATTTTTCTTTCTACAGAGAAGAAGAACAGAGAAGAAAGAAAGAAAAAATACGCATATGTTCTGACGTTGAGGGTCAAAAGTATATTATTATTTTGTGTACAATAATAGAATGATAATGCAACCTTAAAAGCCTTTTCTTTATATAGAAAAGAAAACTTGTTTTTTTTTTCTCTCAATTTTGACATATGTGTTATCTGTGAAGAAAGAGATAGTTTTATTTTTAGATTTATTTAGTATATCAACTAAAATGACTGAAAATTAAAAATTAAAGATACTTTCCCATCAATATCAAATATGTGGAATTTCAGCTGAATATTCTTATCTTGATGTTATTAAATGTCATCCATGCAAAATATTCTTTAAATGAAATGAAAATTCTAAAAAGATTAGTTTAATATTTTATTCTTATATAGATTAATTTAGGCACCATTTACTTGTAATTTTGATGATCAATGACAAATAAATATAAATAATTGTTATATATGTCCATCATGTCAATTTGAGAACTGTTTATCAAGAAAAAATTGATGAAAATTAAATAACTGATGAGAAATTTTTTTAATGTCAATCGGATCTTTAAAACTCTTGCGCGAGACCTACTCTGTAAATCTTCTTGCCCCATATCTTGCAGACTCTCGTGGGTCTCCGGAAAGCTGAACCCGCAGAATGAAGCGGGTTCATTTGAGTATATAATTGATTTCAATGATTATATACAGTGAATGATTATACGTTGATTGGTTTTAATCGATATTTACAAACATGATAAAATCGATTAAAATAGTTTTTTCAATCGAACTAAATCAGCAATAATTTATTTAATTACAAATTTTGTGATTACTTGCATAAAAACTGATTTAAATCTAATTTACCGACTTTCCTCTGTTTGATAGTATGCTTATATTCGATTTATTCATTTAAGTTCGACACTCATATCTTTATAAAAAATGGAAATAAAAAGTCTCATTGGTACGAACAACTTTCAATCTGCACTTCAGACGATGAAATAGCAATCGACTCAAAACGACAGATCTCATCTTCATGTTTAATTATGAAATCTATACTGTAGAATCATTCTGGAAATGGTAGTCATATACAGGAAAGTCTGATCAATTGAGAATATCTTCATTTTTGTTTAGACAATTTTTAAAATATATGAACAGGTCAATAGCCAAAGTAATTATTAGAAAATCTTTAAGATTTCGAACACTTTTTCTTCTTAGTGTTTACTATTTATTTAAAAAACGAAACATGAAACATTTAATCATTGAGAATAAGAGTTTGATTGATCTGCTCAACAAGAAAATCAGTTTGATCTGTGTACCATTGAATTTCTTCCATTTTAACTATTATCTCATTGACAGTAAATAAACATCTTAAAAGATCAGAAAAACATTTAACAGTTTGTTCAAAGTTGTATTTATAGAGTAAATATCGCCATATTAATTCAATATATGTATCTTGAATATGTAGAATTTGTTTCATATTTGATAAATTTATTGAAGAAGTTTTTGAATAAACTGTATGGTTCATTGTGGAGAAAGAGAAAATGACAAGAAGTAGTTTCATAATGATCACATCAAAATTAAGTTGGGTCCCTAGACGTTTAGTAACAAGCATAAGAGATCGGTTAGAAATCATTTCAACATTATTGTAATACGTGGGATAATCCGTTACTCCAACTTTATATAAAATGAAATTCGTAGTAAGACATCCAGTATATTTAAATGTATTTTGAAGTAAAATAGAACGATCATCTGCCGATAAAGAAACAAAATCTTGATTCTTTTCGTATAATAATCGAAGTCCATCTAATGCCATTCGGGTAAATTCGATCAATGATGTACCTTTCAAACGTAACTTAGGAGGTCGAGCATTTTGTTCACGTGCAAAACGTTCACCCATTGATAGTCCACTGTATGCATCATAACAATGTGATAAATTTGAAATAAGATTCCATTGATCGATACTTAATGTAGATTGATCTGATCGTAAGAGATTTATAGTAGGAAACTAAACATCGAAAAAAAAAAATAAAATAAAATATTTCTATCAAAGAAACGATTGCTGAAAGTTTAAAAAAATTATTCAATTCTTTTTAGATATACAATTCTAATATATTTAGATTTTCTCTTCTCATTGAACTTGATTAAAAAAACTGCCCGAAATTCTTTGAATAAATTGAGATGCGTTCAATTTTTTTTTTATTTTTAAAAAATATTATTCCTACGATTTTTGGCAGATATCACAAGATTAACATCATTGCAAAAAAAAGAGAATGCGCCTAGATTCGATTCTAGTTGTAATAAGAAAAAATTTTAATCCTAAAGAATGAAATATGAATTTTTCCTCTTCTCATCGAAATTCTAGAAAGAAAAATCCTCTTAAGTATTAAATTTGAAAGTAATTATAATTTTTCCTGCTTTAGAAAATTGTAAATGATTGAAGAAAATAATGAATCAATTTTTATGGGTTAATCCATACTGATAATGATTATATATTTAAGTATGATAATCGTATAGTCTCACCTGTTCAGGTTCATTTAATCTAACTAAAGCTGTTGATGTTGTTTCCATTTGATTTGTCATAACTTTTCTTTTTCGACTTGTTTTCTTCTTGTTTGGAAAAGAAGGTCGCAGTTTTTCAATTTCCATTCCACATGTAAAACATTTCATAAGTCGACAATAAGAACATACATGACGACTATTCAGATTTATTCCACAATTCCCATCAAAATCACATTTCAATAGTTTCTGAAAATAAGATGAATATTATTTAAAGCAAAGAAATTTTTCAAAAGACCTTTTTATTTTCAGCATTTCGTTTGAAAAACACTTTACATGGATCACATGATATAACACCAAAATATGAATATAAAGCTGGAGCTTCACAAATTTTACATTGGGTTTTTACTCGTTTTGATTGTCGTTTTTTATTCGTCAAATTATTTGAAGATGATTCTTCCATGATGAACAAATATGTTTTATTTGATTAAATCTAACAAATAAACGAACAATATTAATTATTTTTTTCTCATCATATTTTCTTTACAATATTTCTATTATTTCTGATGAAAATATGATTTTTATGTTAGTTTTGTATGTACTATATGACTATGAAAAATAAACCTTATGAAAGATGAAACACAAAGCAGATGAGAATAAAAAGAGAAAACAAACATTTTTCTTTTCTTTCTTTCTTTCTTTCTGTGAAGAAGAACATATATGTGTTGATACACACATACGTTATAGATAGGTCACAAGTACATTTTTTTTTCACTAAGTTAAGGTCAATTTGGCATCAAATATTACACGAAGAAATTGAGCGGAATAAAATTGTTGAAGAGAAGTTCAGTTTGTCAGTGAAAGTCTATTAACATTGAGCATTGAAACATGTTGGATAACCTAGGAAGTAAATGGTTTCATTCGTCGGATTTGATCGTTTTCCACATCTAACTCCATTAAAGAACTTGTCATGTGTCATAAGAGAAAACGATTTCCAATATTATTTCTACGCATCATAAAAAGGAATTTTTAACTGAGAAACAAATTAATTTCTATTGAAGTTGAATAATATTTAAGGGCTCTACCCCAGGAAACCCAATTTCTCGAAGAAAAATCGAAGTCGAGTTTCTATTGTAGGAAGATGCACCAGAGTCTCATCTTTCGGCAAACATATATGGCTTTTCGCAAAACAGAAAGATTTTGACGGACTTATCAGCAGAAACTTGAGCCCTACTATCATGTTTTTCGAAGGACTACCTTTCTATTTGCATCGGCATTAAATAAAGCGTTTTCTATATTAAGATAATGATCACTTATTTATAGCTTCTCCTGAACACTGATATTATTCATAAAAGTGCTCTACAATTTAAAAACCATCTCGATATTCTTAGCGCGTATCCTTATTTTGAAAACCTTACCCGTGTAAAAGGTGTCTTTGACCAATAAATTGATTATAACTTGTGAGTATCTTGCAGATTGAGGAGATATTTTAACTACAATCTATATTAGTCAAGACTAACATTCTGTGAGATTTTGGTTGAAATTGGATGAAGGAAAAAAGAGTTTGTTTGTGGGGACAGAGTCTCTTAATTTATCCAAACAACGATGTGGATCATCGTATCCAGAAAATACAGTAGTATAGAAATACGTGAGTCATTCGAAAAAGAAGAGAATAAAACTACTCAAATATGATAGATAGGGTTAGCTTACTGTATCTATCACGCGCTTTAAAAAAGTCCAATGAAATATATTGAAAATATGCCATTTTAATATGATTTTTCTTTGATTGAATTTTAAAAAATCCATTTCAAAAACTTCTTTAGCGTTTTTCTTAAGACATAGTTTCTAGGCAGGAAAATTGAAATAACTCTCACTAGAGTGTGAGTATGGGTGTGGTGTGGTTGTGGATTTGAGGTATGGGATGTGGCTGTGGAGCAAGAGAAGATCCACAGCCACACGCACCCGATGTTTTATTACAATTTATCCTCAGATATTATAGGACACCCTTTATGTATCCTGACTACAATGTAGCTGTATGTATTGTTGATTGCTTTAAAGATTATTGTATAAAAATGAACTATTAACACGTCTTTGACACAGAAATGCGATTTCTTTCAAAAAATAAATAAAAACCATGTTTAAACATTTATAAAAATTTTGATTTTCGCAAAAAAGCTGGAAGCCAAAAGGTTAATTAATCTTATCGATCGAGAAATTCCTACATGTTCCGTAATTTTTTACGTGGGTGTTTTAAAATTACTTTGATAGGTTTAGGCATGATAGAAAATATCAACATTCACTGTTTTTTGAAAATTCTCGTAATGAATTAGACGAAATGTTTTGTTTCAATTTTGCTCATTATTAAAGCAATATGATTAAAAGAATATATTGAAAACAAAACTTCCCTGAAGTAATTATCATATTCACATGTTTATTTATCCAGATCAGAGAAAAAGTATGTGACATACAATTAATGTAAAGTAAGCATCAGACTTGATTAGACTAAGTGATTGATTTTCATCTAAATGAAATGTTTTGTTCGTATGATGTCGAATAACATTTCAACTTTACATTTATATTGTACAATGCCAAAAAGTGTATCGAGAAGTTTTGAAAATTGGTTTGTAATTTCTTTAATCCATATTTTTCAAATATTTTGATTCATCAATAGCCTCAATCGGATATTTAAATCTTTCTCTTTCAATAACTCGTCAGTTTTTCTTGATAGATATGCTCCCATACTTTTTAGAACGTTGATCGATATGAATAGCAATTAAAACTTTTCTTGACTATATTGTATTCACTGTCGATGCATGAAAGTATCGTAGATTCATGAAAACTTGTTTTTATTCAAAACTAACAAGTAGAATCGACAATTATTCTTTTTTAAAATTAAGTTTTAAACGAGAAGACATTTTTTTGGATATTTTCAGGTACACAGAACATTAGATAATTAAAAAAGATCTAATTATTTGTAACCGCTTTATGATTTCCGAAGACTTTTCACTTCAAACGATGTGTACGAAACTAATTAGCATTACTCTCACGATTTCCATACAATTTTTAAAGACTTCTAACCGTTATTTTGGACGTATCTAGTTTATTTCTTTTTATATGCTTAATTTTAGAACATATTTTGTATGCCATCTAGTTTTTTTCAACATTTCACTATCAGTGTTCGGTATATGCCACAGTTGACTAAAACACAATAATCAAACAGAAAAAAAGCCATGGAGCTCAATTTCATTTCATACATCTAGATAGATATGAAATGATATGGTTTGGCATCGATAAAATCAGGGTGTGAGTGTGGGTAAAGAGGAATAGCAAACACCAACAATCACACCCATTTTAACCAGGACTAACGGAGGGCGGGAGGTAGTCTCAGAGATTTTCCGCGTGTTTATATGCTGACGTCATCAGTCAACCAAACCTTTCTCCTCCTTCCGTCATCACTTATCATTTTTTTCACCCAAACCTCTCCTCCTTCTAGTGATGACGTAATATATGAACGGCCCCAAAGGGTTAAAAGTTGATTAAAATAGATTAGATAAAAAAATAACCGATTATAATCAATTTTTTTCTATAAAAAAATCAGTATTCATAGAAGTATAATCATACATGACATCATATTCATATTATTGCAATGGATTTTAATCAATTAAACTTAAATAATCGCTTTTAATCAATATTTCATATAAACGACATTAATATTCATATAACTATAAGGTGACCGATTAATTCGTCGCATATGTAATATAGAGAATACATTAATTGAATTAAATGATTTAATTTAGAATGTTATTTAATGAGTTGCCTCAACAGAAATTTTTCTTTAGATTCGTGAGAATCTATATTTTCAGAATATAATAGTTTTTTCAAAAATATAATAGAAATATCAATTTAAAGCATTTT